TGATCGTAATGAAAGCCGACAAAGGTGGAGCAGTGGTAGTCATGGATAAGTCAAGTTATGTAGAAAAAATTGTAGTTCATTTAAATGACAATGAAACGTATATACCTTGACTAAGAGATCCAACAGAAAGACTTAAGACTAGGCTAAAGGATGCCCTTGAAGTATGCGTAAGTAATGATGAAATAGAGAAATGGAAAATGAAATTACTGCTCCAGAGAGATGCAAGGTCCCCCCCTGCTTACGGTCTCCACAAGGTTCACAAGGAGGGTGTCCTCCTAAGATTAATTGTAAATAATAAAGGAAGCGTGATGCATAAAATCTCAAGTTTTTCATGCATACAACTAAGGAACTCTGCCAATTTTTGGCAATATTCAGTTAAAAATTCGCATGATTTTGTGAAATTGCTTGATCAGCAGACAATTTCAAAAGAGGATATGATAGTACACTTTGATGTTGTGTCTATGTACACAAATAATCCTGTTGAAGGAGCTATTCAATCTCTGATAAAAACTCTGAAAGAACATCAGGAGATAACACAAGCTTCCATTTCTAGACTTACTAACCTCTCCATGAGTACCACATATTTTACCTTTGACGATAAGTTATAAGAACAAACGCAAGGATTAACGATGGAATCTTGCCTGTCTCCCATCTTAGCGAACAATTAAATGGCGAGATTGGAAGAAAACTTCCTGCAAGAGGCAACACTAACCCCCAAATTGTGGGTTAGATACATGGAAGACTATTTTGTCATCTGGCCTCGTGGTAAGGACAGTTTAGATAGTTTCCTACTTTCACCCAACCAGCGTGAAATGAGCATGAGGTTCACGATGGAAACGGAAGAGAATAAGTCCTTACCTTTTCTGGATGTTCTATTCATTAGAGAAGAGGGAAGGTTAGAAAGAGATGTTTATAGAAAGCCAACATATGTTGGCTCTCTGCTGAATTTTCTTTCCAACCATAGTTACAAGACTAAGGTTGGGATTTTGAAGTCAATGCTTATTAGAATTATGAGGCTAGCGGATAGCAAACATTTGACTAAAGAGTTGCAACGGTTGACAAATATATTCCTGAAAAATAATTATCCTTTGGGTCTAATTGAGAATAATATCTCTCTACTGAGAAATAATTTTTGGGACGGAGACCATTTAGTCAAAGATAGTCAAACGGAGACATTTTCCCATGTCCTAATTCTGCCGTCATGCCTTTTTCCAAAAAAGATAGGCGAATCAGAAAGACAGTTGGGGATAAAAAGAGTGTTCAAAGAAACCCTCACACTTTCTTCTGTTATGCCATCTTTTAGAGAGAAATATGACCTATTATCGAGATCCGGCTGCTACAACATTGTTGAGCTTACTTCCATTTCGAGTGAAAGTGTTGCGTGAAGAGATTCAACGGTCGGTTCTACCAGAAGACGAAGGCGGATTCCTCTTGATCAGCTGTCGATTGGCTGTTTCCGAGGCCATCTCCTTCGATTCCGAGAAAAAGGTGCTAAGCTTTCGTCGCATGACGGACAGACGAAAGCTTTGCACCTTTTCATCGGAATCGTAATCAAGAGGAATCCGCGTTCGTCTTCTGGTGGAACCGACCTTCGAATCTCTTCACCCAATACTTTGACTCGAAATGGAAGTAAGCTCAACAATTCTAAAACAAGAGCTTCCTCGAAATCCAACTTTTCATCGCATACATTGCTACAAGATTGTTTGCTCATGTGGTCGATGTTATGTTGGTAAAATATGCCGACTTATTCGACAAAGATTTGTACAACACAAAAATGCTTGCAAAGGGAGCTGGATCCAGCGGTCAAAAGTGGCTGAGCACGGTAGAAACTGGTCATGAAATAGAATGATCTCAAACTAGTTGGTTCCCTCATTATGATACGTTCGTGGTTAAAGGAAAGATAAGAGAGGCTATTGAAATTAAGAGTTTAGGAAATAGGTTGAATATGAGGAACGGTGGTAGAAAGTTGAGTAGTAACTTCTTATGCGGGATTGATATATTGAAGGAGAGAGAGGGTGTTGAGACGCCATCTAAAAGAGAGCGACTCAATTTGTCTACTCGGTCTGCTCACACTCGTCCAACATGTTCGAGTAAGCTCATCCGCCAGACCTGACATGTCAGATTACGCAACCCCAGTCATGCCTTTCATTGGGGGGTTAAACGTTAATGACCCAAAACTGAAAGGTTAGGACAAATGGTTTCGTAACATGACTTACATGCTTACAAGCTCATATATCATCATCTCAACCATACTTGCTTACGGATCAGTATTGCTTCAAGACACTAACACACACACATATACACGCACTCACACACTCGAGCAAAAGTAGCAGGGCCAGTATCAATATAGGATTTTATTTTATTTTCATGATTAAAATTAGAGGAAAGATAGAGCCGGATAGTCTTATTGCCCTCGTGTTTACAGAAATGAGTCCCAGCTCTGATGATGTCCCTCGAATGATGGACGAAAGCTCAACCAATTTTCACTCGAATCGAGGAAGGAGGTCTCGTGGACTGCGTCAACTTGAACGTCGTATAAAAGCCAAACGGCTGAAGTACAACGCGATTTAGCCGTCCTCATCTGGTGAGGTCGACCTAAGAATATCTTTTTCATGCACTTTCATATGAAATGAAATTTACCTCAACAATAGTCTATTCTTGTTTTGTTTCTAATCGTAGCCACTTTTCTGTACTTTTAGCTCACTCTTCATCTCTCGCATCAAGACAAAAAACAAAAAATAGGTTCATCAACAAAACCAGACGAGTGTCCGACCTTGGGCAATCGGAGTGATGGTTATAACTTAAATGTAGAAAAGGTGAGTTAATGGTCATCAAAACTTTTGCTGTCTTAATTACTTTGACCCATCACTACGGGTTTCGTGCATAAGCGAACAAAAACAGGCCCATACAAATACAGAGACGGACACAATCACATGAATCAAAGTTGACATATGACAAATATATTCCTAGAAAATAATTATCCTTTAGGCCTTATTGAAAATAATATCTCTTTACTGAGGA